TGCTGCTCACCAAGCCCTCCCCTCCCCCCGTCCCCCCACAGGCTGCCCTTCCCTTCCGATGACATCATGACATTATTTGGGGGTTGGTCAGATCATGGCTCCCCAGTGATCCAGTCTGACCACTTTGCTTTCACTGCTATGGTGTTCTCAGTGGGTACTTCATGGCGGAGATAGTAAATCTTTCATTCTCTGGTTCCAAATATGTGATTCTGAAGACAAATGTGGGTTCTTCTGTAGGACTGAAGGCTCTCAGTTGCATAGACTAAACCAAAGAACCTTTTCTATGAGCAGTGACCATGGCCAATGTCGTTATAGCAACCTCCAGTCTAGTCTAAACTGTGAGGTATGGGAGATTGTTTCTAGTCAATTCAGTTATTTTCAGGAAGGGAGTAGGGCATCGACTCAGAATTTCCTAGGGATGGAGTGCATATGTAATTTGAAAAAGCATATTCTTAACATTGCTTAGATTTGTTTTTAGTTTTTTAAATTTTCAAGTTTCAAATAGCATTAAAAGAAACTGTAAGGTTTTTATATTTATCAAAAAGAGTCATGGCTTTAAACACACACACACACACACACACACACACCAAGAAACACTGGTCTGACTTAAAAGAACCTCAATTCATTGGAATCTATCGGTTGCTTAAGATCTTTTCCAAATATTTTTCTCTGTCTTTATTTCCATTAAACAAGAACTTGGGTATGACTGTCAGGTTTGTCACTGTTGTATGGGTTTAAATTTGTAGGTTGTATTAACTAAGAGTATTTTAGGTGACTCTGTTTCAGGCGTTATGATGGCATGATGTAAGAAATAGAGTTGGGGCTGGGGAGAATTCATCTCTACTACCCAACAGAGGCTGCTTGGCCCGTAGCCACAGACTGCTCACCACCCTCTTGAGTGGTTGGGGACCTAGACTAATCCCTGGGGCTGTAAGTCAGGAGCAACATATTCCCTGGCATTTGTGGTGCACTTACTACATGCCAGATCCTGTCCTAAGCACTTTACATGTGTTTGTTTACATGTTACAGCAACCCAGTCAATTATCATTATTTGCTCTGTTTTAATGAAGGAACCAAAGTATAACCTGCCCACCATCCCAGATCATAAACTCTACAGCCTGGATTCAAATGTAGGCAGTCTGTCTCCAGAGAACCTATTCTTATCCTATACACAATCTTGTCTTTCAGGAGCCTGACTGTTCACCTCCTCCCTGAAAGATTCTTGGGAGAGTTGACCCAGTCCAAAATCAAACCTGCATTCTGGTTTCTTGAAAGAAACTCCTTTGAGTAAAGCAGCATGTTCTAAAATACCTGTAAGAGGTGGTACACAGGACTGGCCCAAAACAGTTGTGTCCACATTTGGGGCAGACTCGAATGAGATTTAAAATAAGTATTCAGCTTCCTCTTTGGCCCAATGAGATCTGGATCCCACTGCTGTGACTTTCCATAGAAACTGTGCCTGCCTTCCAGAACACTGGGAGCCTAGGGAAGAACTCAG